ACCCTTCCTGCCATGAAGTTAAGGGCTCAGAAACATGGGCTCAGTAGCTCCTAACAATGTCTGGGCTCCTTGTTTTATACTATGAACTTTTCACAAAGGGAAATCATGTAGCACATATTGGATACATTAATGAGCCAAGCACATAAATAGGATGAATGCAGACACATGTTCTAAGGGACATGCCTGCAAGGGAGGAGATTCTGTTGGTTTTGTTGTTGTTGTTGTTTTCATTGTTGTTGTTGTTTGTTAGTTTTGGTTTTGGTGTCTAAAAGTGGATTTCTTTTATATAACATAAAAAGCATGTGGTGCCTTTGTGACATATATTATGGGTCTGGAATTCGAATGTGCTTCAGAGAGAACTTGAAAAGAAGTGAACGAAGGTGTTTCAGGTCCACCCTGTCTTTTCACACTATTCCCAAGAATAGACTCTGCTCGACTAAAATATCCCTGGAGCTGCCTTGGGAAAGCCAGACTGTGCATTCATAAACAAGATGGTCTCCATTTTCCTTCAGAAATGACATTTATTTTAAAGTGGATTATTTTTTCACTTCAGCTTTTCTATGCTCAGTATGAAAACAGCACAATTCAATCCATAGGAACATTTCAAATTGGTCTGATCTAGTAATTTTCCTTTGCACAAAAGTGTGCTTATTCCTGATACAGTTTGTAGGTACAGAAGGATTTGGGAACTAAATAAAATTGGGGGATATCCATTTTCCAAATGAGGATCCTGGGAATCGTGTGTGTGTGTGTGTGTGTGTGTGTGTGTGTGTGTGTGTGTGTGTGTGTGTGTGTGTGTGTCTATAGTTCAGAAAAATCAGGACAAATCAGTGTTGTCTCTTATGATGTAAATACTCATTTTGAAGCCAACTCCTGATTAGCCAAACAGATGGCCAGATAATTCAGTTGTGAATAATCTAGAAATATGCTCAACTTTCCAAATCTGTTTGAATATGGATGACTCCAGTGTCCTAGGAATTCATACATTCAAATTGAATAGAGAAGACCCTACCCAGTGGAGATTGGAAACTGGAGAAGTGGGTGCAAAGCCTGTGATCAGTGAGTGTTAATGGCTCATCAGAAAACTAATTCCCTGGAACACCTGGTGGCTTAAGGGTCTAACCTTGTGACATTCCTGGGTTCCATGCTGTATATACAGCAAGATGTAGCCCAAAGAGTGAATAGATTAATTCTGAGGCTGAAGGAAGCAAGGTACAAAATTATGGCAAATGTGCTTTTGTTAAAGATTTGCTGGTTACCAACTCATGGAAGTAAACCTTCAAAAATGGCACTTATATGTTGCTGCTGTCTTTAATAACAGCACCCTCCTATATGGGGCTGCCACAACAAGAACAGCAAAGGAATATTGAATCCATTTGCTTGAGTTATTAAAAAAGAAAAGAAAAATATGGCTTAAAGGCCAGTAAATAACCTGAAGCATGCCAAACTTCAACTCAGTAACAATAACTATAAGTTAAGACACAATAAGTGCTTAATTTTAGGACAGACATTTTTAAGTTCCATTATATATGTATGCTTGATTAATATGCCACAGCAAATCTCTATAGAGGAATAATAGTGAGGTTTCTGAATCCAGGTTGCTTGCTTTCGACTTTCCCTCAGTTACTAACACTCTAGACAGTTGCCTGTATTTCTTTTTTTTCCATTTTTTATTTGAATTGGAAACAAGATTGTTTTATATGACAATCCCCCTTCCCTCTCCCTCCCCTCCTCCCCTGACACCCCCCCCCCAACTAAAACCCTATCTATCACATACCCTTTCTGCTCCCCAGGGAGGGTGAGGCCTTCCATAGGGGGTCTTCAGAGTCTGTCATATCCTTTAGGATAGGACCTAGGCTCACCCCCTTGTGTCTAGGCTCAGGGAGTATCCCTCTATGTGGAATGGGCTCCCAAAGTCCATTCCTATATAAGACTGATCTACTACAAGATGCCCCATAGATTTCTGAGGCCTCATCACTGACGTCCACATTTATGGGGTCTGGATCAGTCTCATGGAGGTTTACCAGCTATCAGTCTGGGGACCATGAGCTCCCCCTTGTTAAAGTCAACTGTTTCTGTGGGTTTTACCAGCATGGTCTGGGCCCCTTTGTTCATCACTCCCTCTCTGCAACTGGATTCTAGTTGAATTCAGTGTTTAGCTGTGGGTGTCTGCTTCTACTTCTACCGACTGCTGGATGAAGGCTATAGGATGGCATATAAGTCAGTCATCAATCTCATTATCAGGGAGGGCATTTAAGGTAGCCTCTCCTCTGTTGCATAGACGGTTAGTTGGTGTCATCTTTGCAGATCTCTGGACATTTCCCTAGGTGAGGAGGACATGAGGAAGCAGGAAGGTTAAGTTGGGGGAAAAAATAGAGGAGCGCAAGATAAGAGATACCATAATAGAGGGAGACATTATAGGTTTAAAGAGAAATCAGGCACTAGGGAAATGTTCAGTTGCCTGTATTTCTATCTGCTTTGTTTCTTTACTTGGAAAAAGTAGCAAATAATCATATGCACCCAATGGTTAATGTCATCCAGGTTGAATGAGTAGAACACTGTCAATGTCATTAGTACTATTCTTATCAGGCCATTCTTATAAACAAGAAAGTTGAGATCTAAGATGTAATTGGTACAGATACTGCTATAAGTGAGCTAAGAAGGATCTAATAAGTGGTGACAGTTTAGTTCAGTCAAACAGATAGGACTGTTTCCACAGAAGTCATTGAGTATTGAGTACCTTTCCAGCATAGAAACATAAATAATATTACACTGTCCTCAAAAACCAGATGCTATCCAGTGAGAGAAGCAGTCAAAAATCCAAGTCAAGTTTCTGTGAACTTGTCCATTTAAGGCCATGGCAATGATCCTGGGGTGGGGGTAGAGGGCAGAAAAAGTGATAGTTCTGAATGGGGAAGTTTCAAGAGTGTTTCACAAAAGAAGAATTTGAGTGGACCCATAAGGTGGATGGAACTTTAAGGAGTAAGTTAAGAACTCTCTTCTCTGCTCTTTTCTAGGCCGATTCCAACAAAACCAGAATCGATGAAGCCAACCAACGCGCAACAAAGATGCTCGGAAGTGGTTAAATTTGCGCTCCTGCTGTTCTCTCCTCCAAATATTGTTGGACAAGAGAGCCCCTTCATGCTTTTCTCATGGTATTACCTAGTAGGACACACACACACACACACACACACACACACACACACACACTCACCCCCATTGTAAGTGTCCTGTGTGGTCTGTCAGCTTCTTGATGATACATTGTGTCTTTTGTTCTCTCTGGCTCTCTTTCTTTCCAAAGGTTGTACATAGTAGTCATCTGGTGGCTCTAATTCCCTACCTAAGATGTCTTGGTCTCATTTTTTTTCTTTTCTCAGTGGCGTTTGCTGAATGACAATTTAGGAATGCTCAATGTGCTGTTAATTCTCTCAATCCACAGTATTGTTCTCGTAAAACTGTGACATTCCACAGAGCTACTGCCACGGTCCTTTCTTTGGGTGTCAGGCTCTGAATCTCTTCAAATGTGCTGTCTTTGGTTCCTCATGGCTATTATCTGTCTTTATGATTTCATGATTAGACAATGTGAAAATTACATAACAGGCATTGCACTAAAAGTGATGTGATTTATGCATTTATGCATGAGAACTAAATAGATTTTTAGATTCCTACTTAAACAAAAACTTTCCATGACAGTAGCATACTGACAAGAAAACACACACAACAGCAACAATAACAAAGCAACAACGCATGCTCAGTATTGGGACACTGTCAAGATTAAGTCATACCAGCAAAACCTGCAGCTGTGTCATTTTTTTTTTCTGTCAACATACAGACTTACTGGTCATAATCATCCCTTTTTCTTTCTTTAACAACAACAACAAAGGATTTGACACACCATTTAATCATTTCTAGAAAAATATGTTTGGCTGAAACTATGTGAAATGGATGTAATATAGGGTTTGTTCACTGCTTTTGAAAGATATGTCTTGGAGATAATACTCTTACTGTGGAAGGTGTAAAGATGCAGATCTTCGAAGTTTGACTCTTGTTGATCACTATTTCCCTGTGGTTTGTCATCAGTACAATTCTTTGTTGCTTAATCTAGAGCTATGCACACCAAATTGCTGAGATGTTTAGTAGCTGATAAAGAAACCTTTAAAAAATTATATAAATGAATGAAATATAGATAAACTGTGAGATAAATATCATTACAGCATGTATATTAAATCCCTCCTGTCTCCTCTGTTGGTTTGTGAAGTGATTGACATTTTGTAGCTAGTTTAAAATTATTAAAAATTATAGACCCCAGCTTTCGGCTCCTGTTTGATGTTACGAATATTCCATTTCAACACAACCCCAATAACAGCAAACAACTTGTCTCCATTCTTATAACCAGTTCTAGAAATATGTGTATATGCTGCATTTGTTTACATGTTCTTCAGCTAGTGAACACCTAGCTTATATCTCCTTTGGAGTATTATGGCTAATCGTGCTTTGAGCATTTGTAGATAAGTTCTTATGAGAAAAGCTGTCCTCAATTCTCTTATAACCACACATTTTCCACCATTGTGACTCTGACACCACCACCTCATCTAGCACTACTCCTACTTTCCCTACTGCCTATATAACTTCATTATCTTAACTGGCATGTCTATTCTCTCCACCTTCATCAACATCTTTATTACACACACACACACACACACACACACACACACACACACACACACACACTATAATCAATCAGCTCCTTTACCGATGCCCCTGTTATCACAATAGCCACCACCACCTGCATCACTGTACTGTCTCTCCATCATCTCCTATCATTTCCTCCATCACTACTCCTCGCCATAATCCATAGTAGTAATGTAAGTGCATGTATCCTGGTTGGTGGTGGTGGGTGGATAATTTTGCTTAGGAATATCTCTGGGGATTTGATGAGGGCAGTGAAGAATCAGGAAGAGCAATGATAAGTCCTTGTCAGAAAGTATTTGCAGGAGTTACCCTCTTCCAAAGGAGCAACAACAAGAGCACATCTATTTCTTAAAATGATGGTAGTGGAGAGGGTGCTAAAAGACAGAAGAGGTGATTATGTACTGCATATGTCAGAACTGACAGGGGGGTCAATATTCAGACTGTGCAGAATGTGCCAAGCTCCATCTGTTCTCAGCCGAAGTGAGTGGGTTTTCACAGGAAAGATGAGTGCAGGCAGTTTGCTTTCAGATGCTCTGGGCAGCATATTTGCTTTGACAATTGCATTCGTCCAAGCTTGGCTTTCACACAGTCAGCAACTTCTGACTAATGGAAGATGGCTGTCCCAGAAATGATTCTTATACAGATAATATAGTCACCCAAGAAATGTGTTAGTAATATAACAACAGAACTCTGGAAAGAATAAATTCCCTCCCTCTACTCAGGCACTGGCAAAAGACCCTCCTACACAAAATCAGAGATTGTCCTTGTGTCCTCTTCACAGGAGGCTTTCTTCTTGATCTCCTGCCCATTTGTATCTTTCATCCCTCTTTTAAAATTATTTATTATTTTATGTATACGTGTGTTTTGTCTTCACAAATGTCTATACCTCATGTGTATGACTGTTGCCCACAGAACAGGGTGTTGGATCCCCTAAGACTAGAGTTATAGATGGTTGTGAGGTACAATGTGGGAGTGAAGGGTTGAACCCAAATTCTCTGGAAGAACAGTCATTGCTCTTAACCACTGAGCCATCTCTTGAGCCCTCTGTCCTCCCTCTTTTATATACTCTAAAATACAGTCTGTGGCCGTCAACCTTTTGCCTCCCAAAGTGCTCCAGCAGGATCCAATCTCAGTTGCTCATGTGGCAACTCACCTGATGGCAATCACTTGCTTTAGTGGCTGCAGTCCCTTCTCTTCTCCTGCCCATTTTCATTTCTGCTATCTCTCTTTTATCCCTAAAATCTCTTTTGACTAACTTTTCCAAATTTTGTGTCACTGTCTCATTATCAAGTTGATGCTAGTGCTGACAGCAGAGAAAGAGAAGATAACACATATTCTATGACAATCAGGCACAGGATAGGCTCTGTGTTTCCTACTTTGTCTATTCTATGTTGACTCATTAAACTCTCTTAAAACTGCAGACGTGGTATTGCTAGTCCCCTTTTGAGAATAACAACAGTAACTTTATTTGAACAAGAAATATCAACCAATAAATGAGAAGGTATGATTCAAACAAGATATGCATGACTCTAGAAATATTTGGAAAGACATTCCACGGCAGTGCCTTTGCCTCTTCAGCGAGCCAGGAAATTCCAAGAGACACTGAGCTCCTTAAGCAGCAAGAAAGACGAAATGATGGGCTCTCAGAAGATCTTGGAGAACCTACCTTTCATTCATTTGCTGTAAAAATCACTAAGCTTTATTATGACCCAGGTCCTGTTGCAAATATTGTGAATATAACAGTAAGGGAAACACAAATTTAGGCAAAATTGAAGTGTTTTCATGCCTTCAGATAGAGACTGCAAGAAAGGATGGGTGGGGATGGATGAATAGACAGTTCCACTCCGTGGTGGATTCTACATTGCCTCCCAGAATTACTCAACTGCATCAATCTCCAGTTGTTCATGGGGTAGTTTACATGACATTGATCCCTTTCTTTATTGGCTGCCATTTTTTGTTCATTTCCCACAACCCTGCTCAAATAAACTGCTGCCTTAAACCTGTCTAGGCATACTCATCTAGGGGGATTCCAACTAAGACAACCCCTTCTCGAAAAGTGTACCATCTCCTAAACTTCTCTCCTAAACCCTGCCTTGGAGAAATGTGCTGCCTTCTACCTGCTTCACATTCTTTGAGTCCATCCTTCTGTAAAATGTGCCCTTAGCACTTAAACCCTGGCTTTCCCCAGTAGAGAGCAGGACAGCACATGTCAAGTTGTAAGATTGCTGTGCATTGCATTCTTGAGGGAACTCCAGTCTTACCTACCTCCACTGGCATGCATCACTGTACATTCCCACAAACAATTTTTTTTTTGCAGAAGGCATTATGTTCCCTACTACCCAGTAGTAAGTTGTAAGTGTAATACTAAGTAACATAAGACTTCACTGAGCCCTAGTCTCGTGTGTTTAAGCAATATAGCTACAATTAATAATACTTTTGCCTTCTATTTCACAGGGTAGGTAGAGAGAGCTAACGGTATAAGGACCATTAAAATGCCTTGTAAATCTATGTGCCACTATGTAGACACAGTGACAGGAGACACAATCAGCAGCATTGGGTGTAGAAACATGTCTTTCTGGTCACTTCTAATCAGAGAACCTACTCATCATTTATATGGGCATATGATGTTTGCACATAGATAAGTTGGTTTGACATCTATGTTCCACACCCTTATGAAATCTACCAGAACAGCCCATAGATTTCTGCTGTCCTAACTGGTTGTCAATGTGCTACATTTTCACCAGTAAAGCTTAGTTAGTCTCTGACTGTCACCCAAAAAAGTCAAGTACTGCTTTTTTTGTCATTCATGTCCAAAACCCAGGAGCAATTTATTATGCTACTATGTGAAATAAATGGTGCTACACCATATAGTTGTTTCCAAACACAGCCTAGGATCCTTACTTTTGCCAATACAATGATACAGGAAATCTGATCTGAGGCAACATGAGAAATATAGTGGAGGCTAAGAATTCTTAGTGATTGCTATATAACAAAATGTACCTTAAAATACAAAATAATTTATTTAGCTCTCGGGTTTTTGGTGTGACATTTGATCTAAGCCTGGCAGAGTTCTAATCTTTCCTTGTCTGTGACTGTGTCAACTGCGTACCCACTGAGCAGCAATTGGCCATCTATTGCTGAGACTTCCTCTGACTCCATATGGCCTTTCCTTCTATAGCAAGCCATTTAGAGCTTGTTGACATCCTCTTGAGACCCAGACTTCTCACTTCCACTACAAATCACATTGGCAAATGTAACTCTCATACCAGTCTATAGCCAAGAGATGAGGAAATAGATTCAACCTCAGGAGGAAGCTTCCAGGTCCTTTCACAAAGGTTTTTTATGCTATGTGCTGAATGGGAAAGCTACCTTCACAAGCACTGGTATAGTTCTT